CAGTGCCTGCCCGTGTCCCCAGTCCCTGTGTGTCCCAGTGCCTGCCAGTGTCCCCAGTCCCGGCGTGTCCCAGTGACACTTCTCCCTGCACTGTAAGAGGCTATGCGCTGGATCCTGAGGTGCCCACAGCACATAAACTCTTACTGTTCGGGGGGAGGTCAGGGTCTCACTGCTGTCAGCTTGGGGGGTGTCTCCGGCACCCCATCCCTAACGTTGACAGTGATAATGGCCCCTTGGATCAATGAAGCATTTAAGGGTGAATTCAAGCGAAACAATAAACACTTTAAACAACAGTTGTATCAGAGTCAAGCAAAGACACCCAACAGGTGTGTCTAGATGTCTGCCTTTGGTACAGAGAGCTGCGCAGGTGGTTTAACGGTCTGCTTGAACTGTCTGCCAGTGAGCTACCAGCTAACTCACACCTGCAGGGCGGACAGTCCGATTCCTTCTCTTTTCCCGGGAACAATCACGCACTTGGCATTCCACTTCCACTACCACAGCGTCTCTCCCAGCTTGTCCGTGCCAGCCTGGCTGCAGGAGAGCTCTCGCCCTGCAGCAGTGGAGACAGAAGCACACGAAACACAAATGAGAAGAGAGTTAGACCCTGCCCTCCTCTGCCCTGCTGCCCTGGGGCGCATTGGACGATCCGTGATCAGGCTGTGCTCACGGTCGCATCACGAACTCCCCTCTCCTGCCACAGAACACACAGGCCTCGGCTTGAGGAACCGAGGTCTTGGTCATCTGCGCCCCCCGGTGTCCGACTCTTAGCTATGAGAGCGCCGGCAGCGCAAAGACTTGGACGTCCCGCTGTTACTCCGCAGAGCAGTTACTCATGGACGCCAAAAAAACAGGCAAATTACTTAGCAATGATTCAAAATGTTTACAATGATTCATGAGACTAGATAAACAGCAATAGCTACACGCGACTGTACCGTTTCTTTCTTTTCATAATGCGGAAGAAAACGGGCATCCACTTGGCGCGGTGGTCGGAGTGGTGATCGTCGAGAAGGCGCGGAACTGCAGTACCGAGCGTGTCCAGCAGATGGCGGCGACACAACGCGTTTCTAGTTCCCCCGCCTGGGCAACGAAAAGGGAGCTGTAGTCCCCATCCAGCCCCGGGCAGTTCTTTCGAGAAGTGACGTGACTGACCGGCGTGATTAATATCTGCCTGCCCTGGCGCGCTAGGCAGATCGCCACGCGCCAAACCACAGAACCGGCAGCCAGGACCGGCCCGGGCTCTTTGCCATGACAACACACCCGGTGGATTACGGTGCTCTGACTGGGACTTCAGTACGCAGCTCTCTGCATTTTTTCCTTCTCTTTGACCACTGAAACTGCATCGTCCTACAATATCTCCAGCTTCCCTCGCCCCCACACATCACAGAGTCCGTCAGTGTCACAGCAGACCTGAAGGAGAAATCCTTCCTCAGTGGGCCTGATCCCTGATCTCATTAGGAAAGATC